ATTAACAAGGAGAGTGATTATGAGCAGTACAACTGCATGTGTAACCTATTGACTTTTCCCCTTGATCTCTGTTTCTTCTTCTAATTCTACTACAGCAACAACTATGCCTCAGTCCTAAACAAGTTGAGGTGGGCTATATAAATCATCATTGACCATGTACCCTATTTAAGTTTAACTCATGTCATTATCAAACTAGATAAAAAGACAAAATACATAAACCGACACTTAAAGTTGGCCCCAACAACCAGCTGAACATTCCAACTTACCCAATAATCATCTAGACACCTCAACTCGCCCTCGGTGTATCTCGTGGACACCTGAATCCAGCAAACCCCACACGTGAAGGCCAATCACGGGTGACGTGTCAAATGACATGATGACACGTGTCATTTAAAAAAATTGCCACCTATCATTAAAAAAGAAATTTGCAAGAACTATACAACAACAAAAAAATATCTTCCAAAAACAAACCCTCTCCCCTACTTCGTTCAAAGGTGCCAGAACAAAACCTCTCCCTCCCCATTATTTCCTATTTAATTTATATTCTTTTTCTACCATTTTTAAATTCTAGCTCCCAGCACTATAAAGGCAATAGCCAAAAGATGATGAGCGAGTCGTTCAGCTCCAAATCTGAAGTCGAATCACTATTTTTTTTTAAATTCAGGCCCGATTCTGAAAGAAAGATGTAGAATAACTTTTTTTTTGACAAGTTAATGTATTTCATAGAAGGCATCAAGAAGATGCAAAATTCAGAATTTACAGAGCAAAGGCATAGAGAGAAAAAGAAGACAATGCTAGCTCTATTACAAAAGGTCTAATCCAAAGTTAAGGAGCTAACAAAGTCCAAAACGATTCAGGGGAATTGACAGGGGAGAGGATTACTCCAACTACAAAGACATGTTAAACATCTAGCCTTAAGAATGTATGTTGGAGTAGTAATGCCTTCAAAGCATCTAGTGTAGAAAGATGTAGAATAACTTGTACATATGTACTTTTTAGAAGGCCAGAGTCGAGTCAAACCCAATCCACTTTCTCCAACATGTGTCAATCGAAGATGGAAGCAATGTTGTCGGCGAATGGAGTATAGTTGTCGGCTAAGTTGCTCCGACACGGTAATTTAGTTGCCGCACCCGTGTCGACACGACACTAGTATGGGTGTGGTTGTGGGATCCGGTATCCGTACCGGATCTGGTGAACCAATTTTGGATACTGACGACGACGGATGGAAATATTCCCGATGAGATACAATTTTATTCCCACAATCAGAACAAAAACATGGGTAAATTTGAAGAAAATAGCACAACTTATCTAGGAAATCAATCCTTTACTTATCTACAACTTGAGAATAAAAAAGAAATCCACACTTTACAAGTTATACGTAAGTGTTCCACAAAATTTCTCATAATTTAGCATTATTTTTATTTTTTGGATATATTTTAAGCCAGATCCCCACACTCGTATCCGTACTAGGATGCATATCCCCGAATCTTAGAATTTACATCTCGAAGGATCCGACCTCTAGATTCGCTCCCATGTCAGGTTCCCGCACACATGTCGGAGCAACTTAGGCTGCCGGTGCTCCGTTTTTTGCTTTGCTTCGTCGCCACCATTCCGATGTGCTTCCTTCATCGTTTTGTTCCTATGCTTCTGGGTTATGCTAATATTGTTCTCGATGAATTGTTATGGCATTGTAGTCGCTATTGATTTATCTTGTCAAGATAGAAAGAGTGCTGGTAGATTTATGGTGGAAGGTGGTGGCACTGGTGTTAGAAATGTTGTTGGAGGAGATGAAATTTTGGATGAGGTGGAAATATTATGGGCAAAAATGGAAAATGTAGTGTAGGCCCCACATAAAATAATCTAATTCCGAAAAAAAAAGAGAAAACTTTAGTTAAGGCTCTTACGCCCAAGTCTAAGCGAAGCACTCCTCTTTTGCCATGTCAGCGTAAGGTGCATAAAAGACAGTTCTGCTAAAAAGATGTGTCTAGAAGGTCATTAGATAAGTTGGAGTATTTTTTGGCCAACTTTAAGTGTTTGTTTATGTATCTCGCCAAATAAAAATAACAGGGAAAAATAAGCAAAATAATATAAATAGTAGCAGTAGCAGTAATAATAAAAGTTTTCTATATTTCTACTGGCATATAAATCTATGATAAGGTCAAAAACACTCTTAGAAAAGCAATATGTTAAAAACCAGCGTACTAACAAGAGTAAAACCTATTTTCAACTATATATATATAGGAATTATAGGTCTTTTGAGACAACTTCCTTTCATGTAATTTTAGGCCTACCTCGTCCCCTTTTAATAATTTCACTCACCATAGTTTCATTCCTAGGGACCGGTGCATCTGTAGGCCAATGTAGGACATGAACGTACCATCTTTAGCGACCTTATCTCAGTTTATCCTCAATATGTGGTACTTGCACCTTATAGCGAATGTGTTCATTTTTAATCTTATCTAGTCTTGCATAATCGTACATCCATCTAAACATCCGCATCTCTGAAACACTCATCCTGTGAAAATATTAGACTTTAGCAGCACAACATTCACTACCCTATAACATTGTGGTCTTCTAATTCTAGTGAGTATAAAATTATTTAACCATATAATTCACGGTGAAAATTTATTAACTGTTGCACCAAGTCTAGTATTTAAGTGGAGAAGCATAGAGGGGCAGAACATTATCCCCAAGTTTTAGAGCTGAAATAGAGGATTTATCTGTCATTAGAAAAATACTTAACAGTTTAGCAAGTTAGGAATAACCAACTTTACCAACATCTTTCAAAAAAAATTAAAAGGAATTTTACCAACATCTTATGACAGCAATAGGAACACTTCAGAGAAATTGCATAACCTTTTCTCTCAAAAGCCATAATCTCCTTACTTCACTCACCCCAAAGTCTATCATCTAATCTAGCTAAGACCACACCAACTTCCAATCATGTAAATCACGTCCAGAAAGTTGTATTTTTCTATATTGCCAATTAAAATGAAGTTAATGACAGTTTCATGGTCATTATCAATACTTAGAAATCCAACGTTAAACCAGCTCAGGCTAAACCAAAACCTTATTAAGGCCGTCTCCATTTCTCCAATTCATCAAACCGCACTTTGACTATACCTTTCTCCTAGAACCATAGTTGGTTTGCTAGTATGGCTGACAAGACAACTTAAATTACATTAAGTAAAAAACAAAAACAAAAAAGGCAGCACCTTTTTAGAGCCAAAAATATCGTCTTCATCATCGTCAAGGTCTCCAAAGCTTCTTTTGGTACCTAAAATCACGTCTTGAAGTGTTAAAGGCAAGAAATATACCAAAAAAGCTTGCAGTAAAGGCAGAGGCGGATCCAGGATTTTAGGTTTATGGGTTCCTACAAAAATCTCGAGTTAATATACAATACTAACTAGATGAACAGACCGGGTTCCAAGCTAAATATTTTTATACATTTAATGAATTTTTCAATACAAATACAACTTCTAGACAGGGTTCACGGGAAGCCGTAGCTATTGAACTGAATCCGCCCCTGGTAAAGGTGACAATGGCGGGGAAGAATGAGCAAACCTGAACGCCTAGTACCGGCGAAATCTCCACCAAAATCGAGGTCCTGACAATTTCCCAAAAACGAAAATTCTTCAACATGGTATTTCATACAGGAAATACAAGTAATTACTATTGGACAAGAAAACCCTAGAAATCCAAATAGAAAAAAGAAGTTACATCATCGAGGTGGTTATGGGACGCCATTGGCGGAATCAATTCAAAAGGTCTGGAATTTAAATTTGGAACCCTATGCTATTGAAGAAGGTTTCAGTGAAGTGCAGGGCAAGGAGGAGGAATGATTTGCTGCGTCCGGTTCTAACTCCTCCGTAGAACAACTTGCACGCGGCTTCTCTACTTTAGCGTCCAAAGCAAATTTATTTCATTAGGCGAAAAAAGAGTAAATTATAGTTTAGCCCCTAACCTTTAAGGATTAGGAAATAATACCCGTCCACCTTAACCAGTTAACCTTATTACTATGTAATATTTTCTAGAAGAAGAAAGTATTATTGCCTTTTTCTTTTTTCTTAAAGATTTTTTATTAATCCAAAATTGTCAGAATGATCCAAGAGCTGAAACAAAGCTAAGAATTCTCTTAAGACGCAACTACAAATTGAAAAAGTTACGCAAAATTAATTAACGTGCTGCCTCCGTATTTAAGGGTTGAGGTACTTAACTCGCATTTTAAAGATATTTGAAAATATTTACAATGTGAACTTTGCCCAGTCTTTATCTTGGTTTGTCATGATGTTGGTATTATTTAAAGGTTGATAAAATTTATAAAAATGTCAAAAAGGATGACATTAAATCTTGAATATAATATGATGTTTGCTGCATTGACCTAGCAATGTGCTCTACCCAAAAAAAAAAAAAAGGATATTGTGGCACACTAAAGTCGCACTGAAACTAAGAAAGTTGCCACAAATATATTTTTCTCACCGGAAAATTTTTACGTGAGGGGATTATGTTCCAATTTAAAAGGTGGGTATTTTTTCTCAACTTTAAAGGTTAAGGGGTCAAAGTGAAATTTACTTGGCAAAAAATGGTAGTATTATTTTAAAATTCTAATTTTCTAAGAAATGCTTCTTTGAAATTGTAACAATTTGTGTTTGACCAAATTATTTGAGCACTTTTACTAGTATTAGAAAAATAGTTTGTATTAGCTCAATCTTTTCAAAAAGTGTCAGTATACGAAAAGAGCATATACAGATTTACTTTACACTTAATATTGGCATCAAAGTCCAAACGATTGCTTGTCTTGAAGTCGAATGGGGGAGTTGGGCAGCTTTAACAGTAAAAGAGTAAACACTAATTGCAATATAAAAGCATTCGCTTGAACAATGAAAGAGTAGACAATTTTAGCACGCTATAAAAAGCATTCCAATTACAGTAGTCACAATAATTAGTTTCTATGAGTTCGCTGACCAATCTCAATATTGCAATAGAATAGTGCGTAGCAATGATAGAATAGTAAGAAACTTCCATTGGCAAAAGAGAAAAAAGGAATAAGATAAGGAAGACAATGAGATTTCATCTCAAGCTGTATGTGCAGACATATGGAGAGAGAAAAAAGCTAAGGTCAACTTACATAACACTTCTGCTTCTTGCCTACAAATAATGTAAGACAGCTTACAACTAACATATAGGGATATTTGCAGTGGTGATCAATGAAAAGATTGAAAATGCCCCAACAAATGGTTGCTTCCTGCACTCTCTGTCTACCGCTCCATTGAAGAATATTTTGTTGCAAACTTGAGTTTTCTCCACTGACTTCAGAGTAAACTCAAAACGATTATAGATTTTAACTTCACATACTTCTGAAGCTTTTGACATTGAATGCAAATGGTTCTTTGAGGCACAGTTATGATGCAATATAGTTCAGTGTGAGAGTTCTTTAGCCACGGCCCACGACGAAAGACAACTTATACATTTTCTAGCCCATCCATAGCTTCAAAACTCTGTCCTTACCACCAGATGCTACTTTTTCACCGTCTGGACTCCAGTCAACCGCAAAAACCTTCAAAGTTCAGATAGAAAAGTTATCTCACGTTTCTGTGGAAAAGGAGAGGCTGAAAATGCCTGTGGGCGGAGGCTTACCTCATCAGCATGTCCAGGAAGGTCTTGCTTCAACTTTTTTGTCCGGATATCCCAAACCTAAATAGAAAAGACATAATAGTTTCTTAAATATCTCGCATTTGGAAGTTTCTTCGAAGAAAACTGTTTCTCACTTGACACTTAATGCTCAGCAGAAGTTGTAACCCCACAGAACAGGTATAGGCAATACCTTTGTGCACAGAGAACCCAAGATAACCTGTTTTTAATGGGACAAGAACAAAGAGAAATGCAAACCCATACCTTCAAGGTTGAATCTTTGCTCCCGCTCAATAGGAGCCTACTGTCGGCTGACCAGCTGTGCAGAACACAAGGATAGTAACTAATGGTTGACTGTTAAAAATGATGGAAGATTGAGTTTTATGGCAAATTCTAACCTTATCTGATATACAGGTCCAACATGACCTCGAAATGCAGCAACAAATTTTCCTGTGGTACCATTCCATAATTTGACTGACTTATCAAATGAAGCACTTGCTATCCATTGACCATCCGGAGAAAAATAGACGTGATTGACCAGCTGCAAAAATTGAAATTCATGGCTCGATGCTTAGAACAAAAAAAGGCCATGTTTACTGTCAAAGCACACACACACAAAAAAAATCCTTTACAACAGAGAAAGATTGTCAACCTGTTGGTGACCTGTCATGCGAGTTTTGGGGTGCTTGCTGACAGCAGGTTCCCATAGAAACATGGTGAAATCATCTGATCCTGAGACCAATCTCTCAGGGGCATTGCCTCTCATTTTGTTGTACCTTTCAAGCGCTACCTGGAGATGAAACAAGAGCAACGCAGGTACTGTGAGGATGGGAGAAATTACAAATTGGAGCAACAAAATAGAACCAAAGAATTACCTTTTTCATTTCCTCGGGAGACGAATACTGTTTACCGGTGTGATCAAAAGCTCCACTTCGAAGAACATATTCAGTGCTCAGTGCCAGAGAATTTACCCAATGACCATGACCCTGCATAGCATGAAATGGTAGGAGCATAAATTAAAAACTTCCCATCTAGCCATAATCTCCGGGACTTCTTACTCCATGTTCACAAAACAATAGCCAATAAATCTACACAAGGATTTTTTTCATGGATGCAAATGGTAATGTCTTCTTTTCTTCTCATAAGGTAAATAATCTTTAATAATTACTGGGAATAATAATGTTCGAAATTGAAGCTCACAGAAATCCAAATTTTAACAGTATATCACATGCGAACAGATCAAAAGCCATAGCTTTTTTGAGACACACGAGGATCAAAATTTATTTGAGCTACTAACATCCTAAAGGTGCAGATTCAATCCTTGCGCTCCCTCGTGACCCCCCCCCCCCCTCCCTTTTTCTCTATGCTGCAACTACCCCCCCCCCCCCACCCCACCACCACCACCACCCTTCAAAAAAATAGAAATGTAATGGATCAACACCAAGAGGACAAGTTGATAAATAAGAAACAACTGGGGACCTAGGTAAGAAAATATATTGGAGTATACCTATTCCACCTAACTTAGAGTGAGTGTTTCTTAAAATGAAATAGCCATAAAACAGGTGCTCAACAAATTGTCTACAAATTCAAACGATAGTATATCACAATCCTCACTCTTGAGCAGCCAGAAGATTAAGAAAGCTTCTCAAGGAGATATAAAAAAAGCCCACCAAGCTCATATCAAACCTCACTGAATGCAGGTGATGAATAGCAATACAAGTCACAGCACATGCATGAGAGCAATTGAAAAATCACACAATAATCAAAAGTTATAGACTTCACCTTCAGTTCACGTATTAGCTTCCCCTGTGAGGTTTCCCATACCTTGATTGTACAATCCTGAGATCTGGATATGAACTAAAAATGTTACTAACACCAATTGAAGATTTTATAACTACTGTTTGAGTTCAACAGCTCGTTGGCTTTCTCCCTCTCTTTTTTTTCTCTCTCTGCATCTCTCTCTAGATACAATATATAAAGTTATAAACATACACACACACACACACACATTATATACAGCCAAACCACCCCACCCCTCCCACACAAAACAAGGAGAGAACTAAGCACCAAAAGAAAACAGCAAAAGTTCAAGAAATAGGTATCATCAAGTGGGCAAATCACCATAAGTTGATGCTCTCTGCAGAGATCAATATACTACATAAAAGAAAACAAACTGCAAAGCAAAATGCTCTAAAGAAATATACCCAGTGTAAATAACTCCATCTCCACCCCATTTTACACATGTTATTGCAAGTGTATGGCCACTGAGACAAATAAGACACTTTCTGGTGGTAACATCCCATATCCGTGCATCGCCATCTTTACTTGAACTTACAAAGCGACGACATGGAGCACTGAGGTGTACAGGTTCCCAAGAAATACCAGTTATCCATTTCTTGTGGCCCTGCAACATGGAGCTCAGATTATAGACTCTTCAAAAGTTTCTTTTAACAGTTCACAAAGCAGTACGACAAGTTACAGTGAGCCTGTTACCATCAGGGACGATTGTTTTCAGCAAACCAACAAACGGAAGATAGGCATGTCATACAAAATGCCACAACTTAAGTCAAGAAAAGTCAGAAAATAGAAGACCTATGAGTAGTTTCTTAATTCAAGTACATTCAAGGCCTAGTTACTTCAATATCTTCATACGGGTACATGTAGGTATTCCAAAAATTAGAACAGACGACAATATCCAAATTAAAAATGAAACAAACATGAAAATTTTGAACTTAGCCACTTGAGAAGCATTCTCGCAACTATCTGAATTTGACATTGCAGACACGCTCGAAGTCTTAAAAACAACTAGAGAAATCAATGATTGATTAAATTATGCATACACATTCTCTGACATCTACTTTGCATGGTTCAAATAAAGATACACCCAAACTCCGAATTCTAGACACCAACAATCGTAAGCACATTAGCCTAAGTGTGCAATAATGTTCACTTCTTACAAGATATACAACATTCATCCTGACTAGTAAGCGGGTTTTTAGCCACAAAAAAATAAGAAGGAAAAAAAAGTAGAGCCCTTCTGTAGATACGTTTTTGTACAGACAAGTAATTAAACTTCAATATCAGTATTCTATCTTCAACTAAAAAAGAAAGATTACCAGGATTTATCATCACTAAAGCACAATAGACAACAGGTTACAAAGAAAATGCTGTTTTAGCGGGGATCTTGACCCATAAAGCCCAGCAGGCAAAAACACATCCAAAGTCCATAGTTATGCAATCTATAACAATACAAAACACATATCAGCTGACTTACAGTAAGCGGATTCCCTAAAGGCTTCCCTGTCTGAGGATCCCAACAGATAAGTTCTCCAGCCTTACTTCCACTAACAAGATGCTTACCATCTGGTGACCATGCAACAGAAAGAACCCAGTTTCTGTGCCCTGGAGCAAAGAGAATTATAGATCACTATTTATACATAGACATTATTATTAAAAAGATAAAGGGAAATGTTTGTAAGTCCATGATTCGGCAACTTGGAGGGAACAGCAACATTGACAGATTTGATTTTTGGAAAGGACATTGACAGAATTATATTATAAGAGAAAACCTGTTTCTTTTCACTTTTCTTATTGTTGGGTAGCAAATGCAATGCAATTTGGTTATATGGGTTGCTTGCAGACTCATAACTAGTATTTGATGCTGATGGAGCAAGTAAAAATTACTCGCATCCGTTACGGCAAATTTTTTTGAATTTTCTCGGCATTAAACACTATGCCAGGTACTGCAGCAGAGCTGCTCTCTTGTTGGAACAGAAAGGGGCTGCAAAAACAACAAAAGGAAGCAAGCAATACTATCCTCACAGTTATCTGGTGGTGCATCTCGAAGTAGAGAAATAGAAGGTGTTTTGACGGACGAAGGAACTCAACCCTGAAGATTAAGTCTGACTGTGTTTTGTTATTATCTTCTTGGTGTAAACCCAAATGGATAGATGATAGTAAAACCATGTTACAGTTCCTTGAATCTTTTGTATAGATAGCCAGGTTTGTTTTCTTTTTATTTTTAATCAACTTTTGAATGTAACTTTCTTAGTGCTGGTTTTCTTAACATCAACAATATTTACCGGTTTTAAAAAAAGAAAAAAGGCAATCCCTGCAGCATTTGCGGCAGAGGAATAGAATAAGCAAAGCTATATACAGAAGTTAATGACCTTCTCACAACCCAAGTTTTACCACTAGGAGAGCTAATGACACAATATTATCTGACAAGAAGCATGACATATTTAACAGTATCTAAGATGCATTCAATGTAACTGAACTACAATTTACTGCTGGAGTTACTAATGCTCTTTTGCTTTTTGTTTTTTGTTTTTGTTTTCCTTTTCCTTTTCCTGAGCCGAGGGTCGATTGGAAACAGCCTCTCTGCCCTTTCGGGTAGGGGTAAGGCCTGTGTACGTATTACCCTCCCCAGAACCCACCTTGTGGGACAATACTGGGTAGTTGTTGTTGTTGTTGTAGAATGTGAGAATGTGAAGGGAAGTTGGGAATATCTTGTATTACTCCCAGCATATTAAAAAGTTATCGTTCTCGTAAGTGATAATCAGCTAAGTAACATCTTGTAAGAGGATATACTTAAAGACCTTTACCACTCAGTTTCTACATTTTATGTGAGATGACAAGTCAAAAGCTGAGACTTCCACGGGTGCCAGTGAAACTAGGATTCAAACCTTGAAGTGTAAACAATGGCGTCTGGGTATTTAGATCCCACAAACGAACCGTAGTATCACCAGATCCACTCGCCAACTGCCGTCCATCAGGACTGAAGGCAACTGAAAGTACAGCTTCAGTGTGACCTGCAAGCACAAACCCACATTGAATAAAGCAAATGTGAAGGTCCCAGTGTGACCCGAGCAGCTGTCTAGTACAAAGGAAAAGAAGATTGAATGGAACATTAGACAAAGACATACAAAATTTAGATATGATAAGCCATCAAAGGTAATCAGTCAGACCAAAAAACAGAAGCGTGTATGAATTGGTTGTGGATCATAGACTAACAAGACTGGAAAGCTTATTGCATGAACCAAATGCCTCTCAAGTGGAAAGCGAAAGCTTGGTTGTAGAATAGATCAAGCATAGAAGCTTCATCCAATGGGGTTTTCACCATCACACAGAAACATATCAATACTCCATTATTTTGGCAACTACTACCCATTTCTTTTCAAATCTTCAATACTTTTTCCAAAAGTACATTCAAATTTGGGAAGAACTGAAAACTTAAATTCTTCTACAAATCATTGTGCACTCATAAGCCATAGACCTAACCCATCAAAACACGCAGCTCAAGCAGACCTAATGTTGCCAACATGATCGTTGGTTAGTGACCCGTCAATATGATCATTGATAAGTGACCTATCAACATGATTAGCTTTGCTCCATTTCTTTAGATTACTTCTGTTTTACTCACATGGAACAATAAAATAGAAACTTGAAAACTTATCAGTTACTTCCCCTAAAAAGAACCAGAGAAAAAGAAGAGCACCAATATATCTTCACTCTAACAGGATATATAGAGTAAAAAGTTGTTAGGGTGAGAAAGAAGACTGTTAATTCTTAAATTAGTAACTGCTCAAAATAATCAAACCCTACTGCAGTTCCACCAAAACTAACCCACACCATTGTTCTTTTTCTATAGTATCAATTTACCAGAGAAAAAAATCACAAAGACAAGATGCTAAGTAGCATAACGACAACAGAAGTGAATAATCTTGTACCAGCAATTGTGGCCGAACAACGAGTGACAGGGCGGATTCGAAACACTGCTTGTGGTTGATACACTATTGTCAAGACTTTTTCCACAGATACTGCAATGAATTCAGCAATGTATCTCCATAAATATTTAGCGAAATGTCACTTATAAGCTCAATAATTATTACAACTCTCCTACACAAGTTACCTTTGTTCTTTTCTAAGTATGATCCAAGCTGCACCACAAGCTCTTCGTCTGAGATATAAAATGCATAAGGCAACCTTTCCTCCTGACAAATCCCAAAAAAATCCCGCAATTACGAGTCATCTTGAAAATTGACGCTCTTGAAATGGTCATTAATACCACGATTCCTCGTATTCAGCACTAGCTCATTCATTCATTAAGTCGTTCATACACAAATTTTAGAATATCCTTGTTTATTATTCATTTTATTTTGTACTATGCAATGGAGGCTAAAAATAAAACTAATATACACAATTGATATTGGAAGTTTTAATTTCCTAATTTTAGAATACTAAAAGAAGGTTTGGACTTGCTTACATTGCTGAGAAGCTTATTGACGACTTGATTAAGCTCTTTTGGACCAGCGTTTTCAGGGAGGTACAACGCAGCACCCAACTGATTGCCGTCTGGGTCTGCCAACTGACAAATCACACTGTTTATTGCTTCTCTCTCTGCCGCCGCTTCCACTTCCATTGTTTCTGCCATTAATTTTGCTTTGCAGATTTTCTTGATAAAGCTTTTTTACTTTGAGAGGAAAGAGAGGTTTTAGTAGGGTTTTAAATTTTCCAGTTTTGCGGGTCAGTACGGGATATTAGCAAAACTTACGAAATCGGTAAATGCACACCTTAAGCTTTCTGTACTTTGCACTTGGACCCTAAAATTTTCCACCTTTCTGAACTATGCACTTGCGTACAGTTCTGTATTATAAGGGGGTGTTTGGTTTGGGTTTTCTTTTTTTTTTTTTTTTGGTTTCCCACCCGGTTTTGGGTTAAGTTATACAGGGATTACTAGTATATGAATTGTAATGTGATGATTAATAATCCAACAATCATACATGTATTAAACAATGTCATATAGAGTTCACTAAAGGGGAACCGCTTCCTTTTCTAAGTTTCTAATCCTCGGGATCAAGTTTATGCGAGATCACAAGCAAAGGATATTAGGCTTATCCCAAACACTTTATATTGATATTATTCTCACCAGGTTTAGCATGCAAGATTCCAAGAAAGGCTTTCTCCCTTTTAGACATGGAATCTCTCTGTCAAAAGATCAGTCCCTAAAAATGACTTATGATATAGAAAAGATGAAGGCGGTCCCTTATGTTTCTGTCGTAGGGAGTCTCATGTACGCTATGCTATGTACTAGACCTGATATCTGCTTTGATGTTGGCATGGTTAGTAGATTTCAGTCTAACCCTGGACGAGAACAGTGGAATGCCGTTAAACATATAATCAAGTATATGTCGGTTTATCACTCAAGTGAACTTGCACCCATTGGCTATACTGATTCAGATTTTCAGTCTGTCACGACCCGGATTTTCCACCCTCGGGAGTCGTGATGGCGCCTACTAATAGGAGCTAGGCAAGCCAACCTTACATAATTACCACACTTTCATATTTCTTCTCTTTAACAAAATACCAGACGATAATATGATAACAGCGGAATTTCAAATAAATAGCGGAACTCGACGGTAATATATCTTAAGACTACGTCTATTACAGCTTTTAAAACCTCAAATACTCAAAACCTGGTGTCACAATGTCACAGACTGTCTAAGAGTCACTACATACAAGGTCTGAAGAAAATACAATAAACTGTTTTTGAACGAAGAAAATGAAACAGGGAATAGAGATAGAGGGGGACGCCAGGGTCTGCGGACGCCTGCACGTCTACCTTGGGTCTCTGGGTGGACTGAAGGAAGCCCTCCAACTACTGTCCGAAAGCTGCTCCTGGATCTGCACACAGTGCAGAGTGTAGTATCAGCACAACCGACCCCATGTGCTGGTAAGTGTCTAACCTAACCTCGGCGAAGTAGTGACGAGGCTAGGACCAGACTACCAAATAAACCTGTGCAGTTCAATATATATATAGCGGAAAAGAAATACAGAAAGTAACCAGTCAATGTAGGAGGGGGAAACATGTTGCGGGGGAGATAACAGTTCCGAATTGAAAGCATCAAGTAAGGAAAGAAACAACATAACTAGAATATCAACAAGAATCAGAAATCAACAATTTGCACGGCATCACCCTTCGTGTTTTTACTCTCGTCCTCATCAAATCAATCATATAATAACGATGTGCACGGCATCACCCTTCGTGCTTTTACTCTCTTTCCTCACCATGTAATCAATGAAAATTAGTACAGAATGGTACATCGTACGACACGGCATCGCCCTTCGTGCTTTACACTCTTTCCTCACGATAGCAAACAATGCACGGCATCACCCTTCGTGCTTTACACTCTTTCCTCACCATAGCAAACAGTGCACGGCATCACCCTTCGTGCTTTAACACTCTTCCTCACCCAAACAACAATCACAATCAAAGGGGCAAGGAATTAAACAAAAATAATGATAGAAATCCCGGCAAGGGAACACAATTAAACAATTAAATCCCGGCAAGGGAACAATATCAATAATCTCAACATCCCGGCAAGGGAGATAATCAACAAAGCAACAATATCCCGGCAAGGGCACGATTTAATAACTCTTTCTCTTTCTTTCACTTTTATTTCATAACTCACTTTACCACTTGAGCCAGTGCTCCAAAGGGTTCAATCATCTCATATACTTTCACAATTTGTAATATTACTTGAGCCAATGCTCCTCGATGTTCAAAAGTCACCATTTCCTTCCACAAGATTTTCACAACAAATATAAATCATCACCAAGGCATGAAAGATACCACGAAGTCAAGATATTCACAATTTAAAGACTCACGGTCATGCTAGACACCAACGTATAGATACTCGTCACCATGCCTATACGTCGTACTCAACAATTACCACATAGCAAATAGGACTCAACTCCTAATCCCTCAAGCTAAGGTTAGACCAAACACTTACCTCAAACTTCAACGGCCAACTCATGCCTCAAATACCGCCTTTCCTTTTAAATTCGGCTCCAAATCAATCGTATCTATACATAAATGACTTCATAACATCAAATAATGCTAAACAATTCGAATCCAATGCCTAATTATAGTTTTCCAGTCATTCTTCCTAAAAACCCAAAAATCGACCCCGGGCCCGCTTGGTCAAAACACGAGGTTCGGACCAAAATCAAATCCCCCGTTCACCCACGAGCCCAAATACATAATTATTTCCAGAATTCAACCCCAAAACAAGGTCTAAATCACCATTAATCAAAAAGCCCTAGTTCTACACAAATCCCTAATTTTCTACCCTTAATTACATGTTTTAGGCCTAGGATTCTAGTGGGTGTTAATGGAAAATGAAGGAAACAAGTTAAATATTATATACCCAAGAAGCTTTGGTGAAGAAGTGCTTCAAAAATCACCTAGGAGCTTTGGAGAAGAAAGGGTTTATGAAATTTTATGAAAATCCCGTAATGGGTTCTGTTTTGGGACTTTAAAATAACTGGGCAAAATTGCCCTTCGCGTTCGCGATGGGCACTTCGCGTTCGCGATGGGTCAGACTGGGCAGCCTTCGCGTTCGCGGGCATCGGCTCGCGTTCGCGGAGTAGGAACTCCTCGAGCCTACGGGTTCGCGGACCAGTGGTCGCGTTCGCGATGCACAAGTGGTGACCCCTCCCCCATGACCCTACGCGTTCGCGTCACACAGGTAGCATTCGCGATGAGCAATCCCCCTAGGCTCCGCGTTCGCGACTGTGGCTTCGCGTTCGCGATGAAGAAGCTGGACACCTGGATCTTTGCCTTACGCGTTCGCGAGTGATACCACGCGAACGCGAAGGGTAAAATCCCTGGGCACTGACTGCAGAAAATCTGCAATTTTTTCGTAAACTCAAAACTTCCCGAAACACATCCGAAACACACCCGAGCCCTCGGGGCTCCTAACCAAACACATGTACTAACTCAACCATATCATACGAACTTATCCGTGCGATCAAATCGCCAAAATAACATTATTAACAATGAATCAAACCCCAAAAATCAAGAACTTTTTCTCAAACTTCATCAAGTATCAAATTTAGCAATTTAGGTCCGAATCACGTCAAATGACGTCCGTTTTCACCAAATTTTACAGAAACATCTTAAATCATATATAAGACCTGTACCGGGCGCCGGAACCAAAATATGGGCCCGATACCAACACGTTCTAGTCAAATTTCATTTCAAATTTCCTTAAACAATTTTAAAAAACAATTTCCTTTAAAAAATTCATTTCTCGGGCTCGGGACCTCGGAATTCGATTCCGGGAATATGCCCAAGTCCCATATTTTCCTATGGACCCTCCGGGACCGTCAAATCACGGGTCTGGGTCCGTTTACCAAAAATGATGATCGAAGTCAAATTAGTTTATTTTATAGTTAAAATTTATCATTTTCACAGATTTTCATATTTAAGCTTTCCGTTTACGCGCCTGGACTGCGCACGCAAATCGAGGAGGCTCTAAATGAGGTTTTCAAGGCCTCGGAGTCATAGAATTTAATTTAAAAAAGGTGATGACCCAAAAGGTCATCACATTCTCCACCTCTAAAACAACCGTTCGTCCTCGAACGGACAGAAGAAGGAAGTACCTGAGTCGGGAAAAAGATGGGGATAACGGCTCCGCATATCGGACTCGGACTCCCAGGTCGATGCCTCAGGAGGCTGACCTCTCCACTGAACACGAACAGAAGGAAAACTCTTCGACCTCAACTGACGAACCTGCCGGTCTAGAATAGCCACCGGCTCCTCCTCGTAAGACAAGTCCTTGTCCAACTGGACAGTGCTGTAATCTAACACGTGGGATGGATCGCCGTGATACCTCCGAAGCATGGACACATGGAACACTGGATGCACGGCTGATAAGCTCAGCGGCAATGCAAGTCTATAAGCCACCTCTCCCACTCGATCAAGAATCTCAAATGGACCAATGAACCTAGGGCTAAGCTTGCCCTTCTTCCCAAATCTTATCACGCCCTTCATAGGCGACACTCGGAGTAATACCCGCTCACCGACCATAAAAATCACATCTCGAACCTTGCGGTCGGCATAGCTCTTTTGCCTGGACTGAGCTGAACGAAGCCTATCCTGAATGATCCTGACCTTGTCCAAGGCCTCCTAAACCAGATTTGTACCCAACAACTGAGCCTCTCCCGCCTCAAACCACCCAACCGGAGACCGACACCGCCTACCATATAAAGCCTCGTAAGGAGCCATCTGAATGCTCGACTGGTAGCTGTTGTTATAGGCAAACTCTGCTAAAGGCAAGAACTGATCCCACGAGCCTCCAAAGTCAATGACACAAGCTCGGAGCATATCCTCCAATATCTGAATAGTCTGCTCGGACTGCCCGTCCGTCTGGGGATGAAATGTTGTGCTCAACTCAACCCGTGTGCCCAACTCTCGTTGAACTGCTCTCCAGAAACGCGAGGTGAACTGCGTACCCCCGGTCCGAAATGATAGATACGAGCACACCATGAAGGCGAACAATCTCCCGAATGTAGATCTCAGCTAACCTCTCAGAAGAATAGGAGACTGCCACAGGAATGAAATGCGCTGACTTGGTCAGCCTATCAACAATGACCCATACTGCTTCGAACTTCTTCCGAGGCTGCGGGAGTCCAGTAACGAAGTACATAGTGATCCGCTCCCACCTCCAC